CCCCAAAACCCCAAAACCCCAAAACCCCGTGGAGGATTTTGGATTGAAATGTATAAAAATTTGATATGAATTTAGTGTTGGTAATTGTTGTATAAGATATATTGGAAATTTTATCAAATTATTTTTGAGTTCAGTGAGGTTTAATATTTAGAACCTATTGATGTCTCTGATCACTCCTGGAACATTATTTGGGTATTTGGTATACCTTTAGTATCCCATAAAGTATTTTCAGGATAAAAAGAAGACTTCTTGAATTCACTATTAAGTATTTTATCCAGTACTTTCTTATAACCTTCCTCATCATTCAAGTTCATTAAAGGAAGCTTTGACTTAATTTTCATAAGAATTGCTTCAAATCAGCTATTTTTAGCAGCAAGTTTCTTAAAGTTTACCATAGAAGACTTCGTCCTATCTTTAAGCTGACTCTTTAAACTCTGATACTCTTCTTCAAAAAGAATTCCTTCATCTCTTCACTTCTCAAGAATAGCTTTCACTTTTAGCTCAGGATATGAGAGCACAATGAACTCTCAGAAAGTCCTTACTTTATTCTCAATATGCTGGGTTCCAAATATAATAGGCACAAAGCCTACTGTAAATGCTTCTGCGTAAGATTCAATGAAGTCCTCATTTCTGCTTGATTTATATCTTCACTTGGATCCTACATATTTCAGGATATAATCGACTACACTCTTGAAGTTCCTTCAGACAGAGGTATTCCTTGCATCAGTACGTTGTTTGCTTCCTCTTTTGTTAGCTCTATGCCTGAATCTGTCAATAATTTTCTCCCATAGAGTCTCTGGAGATACATCCTTAATAACCCTCGGCCTGCCTTTATTTGTTCTTCCTGTTTCTGAGAGTGAGGTATAGCTCGATGTAGTAGTCCCTTTCAAGTCTTTTTATACCAAGAAAGAGGAAATTTTGAATCCTGAAAGAGGACCATACTTTTCTGGTGATAGATGGGACATCATTTGTGAAGGAAAAATCTCTTTCGAGTCAATTGGAGTTGTAACTTCTTCTTTTAACAAATTTTCCACTCTTTGGGTAGTAAATACTGAATTCGATGAAGTGCTACAATTATCCGGAGTCGAGCAAGATTCAGGTTGAGATCTTATGTATTTATTTCAAAACACTATATCAGGCACTCTTAATTAAATCTCTGTTGGTTAAATCATGATTTCATCAGGTGCATCAATTTGAATTTCTCACATTTCGTGGAACAAATCTTGGATCAAATCCATTGAACCGGCTCATATTCATAAAGCCTGGTCTCCCAAAGCTATTTATCATCTCACTAGGTGCATGGTTTGGTATGTATTGGCCTGCATTCCTCAATTTATTTTCAAACAAATTATGATTAGGATACATATTTATTATTTATATATTGGACACCTTTAAATATGGTCTCAAATCCAAGGGGTTTTGGGGTTTTGGGGTTTTGGGG